TTAAAATCCTTGTTTTACAGTTGAAAAATTTTGTTGCAAAAAAAGATAAAGAGTTTATATTGTGCCAGTCCCCAACAGAGTGGCTGGAGCTCCCTGTGGTTTTATTCATGGTCAGAATAAGTCTTTACTTAAGGAGCCAGGACATGGCAGCAATCCAAGCAGGAAAGCATCACTGTTCAGGTTAAGGAGGCCAAAGCTTCTGAGTAAGGAGATGTCATCTCAGACAAGCACAGGAAGCCCCTCCTGTGGCATTTTCATAAACCATGCTCCAAAGCTGGGTACCTGAGTTCTGTAGCCTACCACTTTGGGATTGATGCCCAGCTCAAGTGAAGCATGCATCCTGGCAATGGAGCTTCTTAGGCAAGATGTAAAAGATTTATTATTCCTATTTAGCTTTGATCTCTCTTTGCATAAGGGTGGAGATTTGTGACACACTTAAGTGGTCTAAAGTAAGAAGGTTAGAAAAATGGCTCATCTGTATAACTGAAACTCCAAGCTAATAAGATGGGTGGGGAGGAGAAACCACTGGTTTTATTTTGGAAACTTTTTTTTCTGTTCCATAATTAATGCAGAGGTCCTACTTCTGAATTATTTTTAAAGAAACAAAATAAAAGAGTTAGAATACAAATTTGCTCCCATCCAATTTACAGAGGTGACTGATCTTCTGAAGTTGAGGTTTATTTTTTTCCATCTGTATACTTTATGATATATAACATATGACTTATGTTGTTTTCTGTGCATTTTAAGAGTTACGTGAAGGGTGGCATAGTAAAGACATTAAACGCGCTTTTTTCCTCATATTTTTGTTTCTGGGATTCATTCTGGTTGATTCATGTAAGTCAAGTTTGTTCTTTTTCTGAATTCACTATAATTAAATTTTCCATTCCTATGTTGATTGACATTTCCATTGTTCCCATCTTTTTTATTCTTAAAAATAAGTGTGGAAGTTGCCTTCTGCCATATGCAAGAGCTCCACTAAAGTTTATACTTAGGCATAGTATTTTGGGTTTACAGGGTATAAGCCTTTAGCATTTTAAGGGATTGACAAGTCCCTTCTCCTTCAACAGCAGAACATGAGAGTTCTCACTTAGTCTTACTCTCTCAAGCAGTTGGGTATTGCCATTCTCTTTCATTTTTTCCTAATAGAGATGCAATTTCATCTTGTATTTTACTTTGCAATTCTCTATTAAGTTGAGAGCACATTTCCATACTTTCATTGGTCATTTGGGTTTACTATTTAGGGAAATTACTGGCCCCATTCTTTGACCACCTTTTTTTCAATTTGGTGTTTTTTTCTTATAACTTTGTGTTTCTGCAAATATTGTATGCTAGTCTTTTTGTCTGTGCCACAGGACAAAAAGAAAATTACAAAGACCTCATAGAATGGGGTATTTTTGAAAGAAAATGATAAAGTGGTAGTAAATAACTTCAAAATCACAGCATTCCTAGGTGTTCCTATGATGTCTGATTCCTTCAGTCCCAGAGAAAACTTTCAATAACTGTATCCCAAATGCTGTGTTATTGGATACAGGAATACTGGGAGACCACCTCAGGAGTTTCATCAATGTGCATGTAAATTAACAGATATTATATCATTTTGTTATTATAACATATAACAACAATTCAGCTCTAAGCAAGTGCCCTGGATACTTATTTTGTACGATATTTCTTATGAGGATTGTGAATCTGCACCATACCATTGTTTGACATCTTTAGATGACCAACTGAAGACAGACTTTTCTCACCAGGTCTCATTACTCCTTCATACCACAGTCTGATTCCACCCAATGGCTTAATTGTAGCTTTGTTGGTAGTTATTATTATTATTATTATTATTATTGTTTTTGAAACGTGAAACTTTAAGATAGTCACATTTATCATCATTGTCTTTTATTCTTTTGCTTTTCTTGATCTTACTTATGAGCCCTCTCCTACTCAGATACCATCATGGTATTATCCTTAATTTTCTTCTCAAAATTTTCAGTACTTAATTTTCATATTTAGATTTTTAAAATAGATTTTACATATGGCATGAAGAAAGAAATATAACCTTAGTTTGTCCCCCACATGGATTGTGATCTTTTTCTAGTACTACTTATTGACTGGTTCAAGCGTTTCTACCATTTATAGTGGCAGTTCTCTTATTTTGTAAAATTCGCTTGAAGTTTCACTGTTTTCTGTTCCATGCCATTGTTTTATTTAGCCATCCAGTACTAACATCATGCTGGTTTTTAACATGGTTGCTCTAAGATAGTCTTGATATCTGGTAAGGCACTAGCTATAAGTTTCCTTTCATGACAGGCTTTGCCCATTCTCTGTTTTCTTACTCTCATTCCTTTGCCTCCTTGGCACTTATGACCTAGCATAATACATATTGCTTATTTTTTTATTGCCTGTCTTTCTCAAGAAAATTTAAATTCGCTGAGAGTAAAACTTTATTTTATTCACTATTACTCCCTAAGTAAGAATATTTATTTAGTGATTTAACAAAGTTGAGAGAATTAGTGTGTGTAAATGAATAAATGAATTCATAAATAAATATGGAGTTTTAAGTCATGATTTTTTTCTCTTTCTTTGTCTGATTTTGATATTCTGGTTTCATGATATTAATCCAGTAGCTTTCAGACATTTTGTATAAATGCATATTTATTCTTTAGGATATATCAAGGTCTAGTGCTTCCTTGTGAATAGATGTTGGTAAATGATTTAATTTATTTAACATTACAGTTTTCCTTGGGTTTCTAAAACTGTTTTTCTTGAGCTAGTTTTGGTATTTTCTTATAAAATTGTTCCTGTTTCCTTCATTTTCAGATGAATTTGTGCATTTGCTTATTATTGCTGCTGCAACAAATGACCCCAATATATTGACTTAAACAAATCAAATGGGTAGTTCTAGGTCAAATGTCTCAAATGGGTGGCAGACATTTTCCTTCCTTATTTCAGCTCCAAGAGGATTGCTCACATTTTGTGTGGGGTCACATCTTGGCTTCCCATTTCCCCCACCCCCACTACCACTTATAAGAACCTAAAGACTGCAATGTTCCTGGGTGTATAATCCATGATACTCTTTCCACTTTAAGATCCTTTGTTTCTCGTATGAAACTCCTATTTCACCTGTCAGGTAGCATATTTACAGGTGTTGGTACTAGGTTTTGGACTTCTTTTTGAGGGCCAATATTCTACCTACCAAAATTAGCTTCATGTTTTTCATTGTATTTTCTCTTGTATCTCTCAGGTTTATTGCCCCCCCCCTTCCTTTCTTTCTTGTTTCAGATGGTGTTTATTTCTTTCTCTATCACTTTCACTTAACCAATTCATCTGATAGTTGTCTTTTTTATCAGCAATCCAACAGCTGTGACCAGGGTTTGGGTATAGTATAAAAATTAGAAAGTCATGGTGGGCCCTTTGGGGCGTTCTGTTCATATTATTTGCCCCTCCTGTCATTTCTCACTACTTCATCAAACAAAACTTCCCTTGTGCTCTGGGTAGTTGGAAGTAACCCCTAGTTGGATGCTTCCTAAATCTGCCTTAAAGGTAATGGCACATACAGAGCATTCTCATTCTGAATCCCATTCTCATTTTCTATGAATGAAACCTTCCAGCGCCTTTTCTCTCCTGACTCAGCTCTCAAGAATATCTAAGGAGGTGTGCGCCCTACCTCTCTACTCCCATGGGGTCTGACGCCTGGGCATGCGCACCTGCTGTGGCCTAATGGAGGCAGTGATGCGGGTCTCACCCCTTCCACTCTCTAGTGACCATCCCGGTTCCATTATCCCACCCCTTCCATCTCCTCTTTCCACCACCACCCTGCACTCAGGCTCCAGAACCGGTCTGGCTGGTTCTGACATCTGGGGAATGAACCTGTGGGGTTCATCCCCTAGCCTCTAGCAGCTCGGGCTCCGCGCCTCCGCCCTTATTCCCTCGCCGCTGCCAGCTCCTAAGAGTGAAAACCACTACAAATGGCTTGAATGAAACGTGTGTGGGTTTAGTGAGTGGTAAACCACCAGGGGATCCGGTCTCCCAACAATGCAGAATCTCTCTCTAGGAGGAGGAGGGGTAAGGGAGGAGGCACGGGGCAGACCGTTTGTCTCGCCCGCTCGCGCAGTGGCTGAAGCGGCGGGAAGAGGCTGGGCCACCTCCCCCTTCCCGGCCACGCACTGCCTTGCCCGCGGCGGTTCCAGGCACCACACTCTCCGCCTGGCCTGCGCCCGCCGTGGCAGTGACAAGCTTCTGCGGTCGACGGTACTGTCCACCCACCAGCAGCGCCCTCTTCTCCCCCTTCCCCCACGATTCCTGTCTCCGCAGGGGTACGCCGCCCAGCAGCCGGCGCCGCCTCCTCGTCAACTTTGAGCCGGAGGAGAAGCAACTTTGACAGTGGCCGCAGGTTTCCAGTCGGCTTCTTCTTGGCAACATTAGCCTCGAAAGTCGCTGGGGTTAGGTGGGGCAAGAGTTTCCTGGTGCATCAGCTCTGAGTCTGTTTGCAACCTGTTTCCAACGAGCGGGGAGCGGGGATTGTGACTGTCAGTCATCTGGGGGAGGGGGAGTTGTTTTTCTTTCCCTTTAGAGACCTCGGCTTGCAACTGGATAAAGCAGTAGCGAAAGGATGTAAATAGGCAGAGCAACTGTTATCAAGAAGGCAACCACCACCCAAAGGCAGGGAGGCGCACAGGGCTTCGTCCGTCCGGGCTTCACCCAGTCGCAACATTAATCAACAATCAGGTGTTGGTTGCAACTTTTCAAGGTCAGCCACCCGGAGCAGCTGTTTCCTCTCGGAACCTTGGGGGTACACAGATCTTGGACTGGATTTGGCTGAAATGCACAGGACACCAAACGAGGAAGGATTGTAGGGGGGACCCCAAGACCCATCCCCCACTCTCCCGGTAATCTCCGGTTCCCCGCTGCCCAGGCGGGGGTGAGTATGTGACATGTGGCTAACTCTCCGCAGCAAGTTAGGCAGCAGGTGTTGGTCTTAAGCAAGAGCGGCGGCTGCAAGGTGCGCCCTAGCCAAGCCATGCGGGCCCGGGGCGCGCCACTCGGTCGCACATCGCGGCTGCTGCTTCTGCTACTGCTCAAGGTTTCCTCTTTCTCTTCTGCGCTCGGGTTTGTCCCTGCGGCCAGAAAGGAAACTTGTCTCGGGGAGGGCTGCTCACCTACATTGATCCAGCGCCGCAGCAGGGATGTTTGGGGACCAGGAATTTTTGCAAGAGACGTTCTGAGAGCACGCGCACCCAGGGAGGAACCAGAGAAAGGGGCACGAGATGTGCCCTCCGGGGACCTACGGGCTGCCCGGGGCGGTGACCCTGGTGCCTCTAGAGGGGCGGAGACGTCGGCGGTCGGGCCCTCGGGACCTCCACTTGGAGCCTGGAGGTGGAAAGATGCCCGCAGTCAGGAGGCACCTGGAAATTTGGGGAGAGGGGACCCAATGGCCCTCCAACTCTTCCTTCAGACCTCAGAGGAGGACGAGAAGAGTGCCAGAAGCTCTGGTATTTCCCGGCGCAGCCAGGAGCAGAGCGTGAGAACAGAACCCGGAGCCAGCGATCTTTTCTATTGGCCAAGAAGAGCAGGGAAACTACAGAGTACCCACCACAAGCCCTCATCCAAAACAATTAATGGACCCGCAGGGCACGAAGGGAGGACAATTGCACCTCCCGGCAGGGCACTACCCCAGAATGGGTCCTCTGGTGAGGGAGTTCATGATCACTGGGGTCCCCGTAGGGGGAACAGCACCAGCCGGCGGGTGAGATTGAAGAACCCCTTCTACCCGCTGACCCAAGAGTCATATGGAGCCTACGCAGTCATGTGTTTATCAGTGGTGATCTTTGGAACCGGCATCATTGGCAATCTGGCGGTGATGTGCATTGTGTGTCACAACTACTACATGAGGAGCATCTCCAACTCCCTCTTGGCCAACCTGGCCTTCTGGGACTTTCTTATCATCTTCTTCTGCCTTCCACTCGTCATTTTCCACGAGCTGACCAAGAAGTGGCTGTTGGAGGACTTCTCCTGCAAGATTGTGCCCTATATCGAGGTAATGCCTTCTAGGGGTTCTCAAGCTACTGGCTTTATCCGTTTCCGGGAGTATAGCATCAAAGAACTGCGGCTGGACGCACCTACCTGGCTGAACCTCTTCGCTTTTTCTTTGGGTCCCTCCATCTATCTTTCCAATCATTTAAGTATATATGTGTATATGTAAAAAAAGAGGCAGCTTCTCTAGATCACCTTCAAATTCAGCTGTTTCTGGGCTGTAGGAAAAAAAATGATGGTCTCAGAATGCATAGAATTGTTTGGATTATAAATCTCTCTTTTTGAATATGATACTATGTATATTTCTCACTTGGCACCCATTGGAGATTCCAGAGTTAAAATAATGGCCAGTCTATGATTGTCCTTATCAGAGCATAGCAAGAAACAGGAAAATAGAGAAGAAGAGGGAGGAGGGGAGGGAGGCATCAACATTTATTTATTAGATTTCTAATACTTCAATGTAATTTTCTCCTCCAAAAAGATTATTACAGTCTTTCAAGATGCATAAGTGGAAGCAACGTTTTATTTGAAAAAAAAAGGAAAATTTTCTTGGTTGATTGGCCTCAGGATATATTAATAACTCCTCAAAATAGGTTATGTGTCTGACTATCTTCCAGAGTATTTCATCTAAAGTCTCAGGTCATTTCTTATATCTCTTTTTCCTTCTGAATTTCATAACAATTTTATTATTTTTGTATAATGAACCTAAGTAAAAGACTGGTTATAATGGCACAAAATCTGTTTAATATTCTCCAAGTACGTATTTGCTATTCTTTATGGGTGTAAAGGATTGATTTTTAAGGCATTTACTCTTAGTCTAGAAAATTTTAGGAAGACAGAGGCATATAGGTTCCAAACTTTGAAAATGATTATCATTTTGAGTAGGATTTTACTGCTTCATCCTACAATAAATGTCCCAAACCAGAATTGTGGTAGTTGGAATTTGCTCTTTAAATGGCCTCTCTTTAAACACCAGCTCTTGGAAGGGGCCCAAGTGTTTTGCTGCCAGTTGTGTTTTTAGCCAGCTGGCCCTTGATTTTCTCCATTCAGACTGTCCATTTCATTTATGGAAGCAGAAGAAGGGAAACTGTAAATATTCCAGAGCCCCTGATCCTGTCTGGCACCAGGGCCAGTGACACTATGTTCAACATTGTTCCAGGGCCTAAAGCTAGGGGATAAGTAAACAGAAAACAGCACCTACTTAAAAGGACCAAAGCAAGAGACAGTAAATAAGACCCTCTGTTATCTTGACAGGGATCAGATGCAGAATCATTTCAGGGCTACTAGTCAGCTGCTGTGACTTTGGTAGGTTCCAGGACTTCTCTGTTGCCAAGCTTGAAGTGTCTCTGAAACAATTACACTTATTTGGGAGATAGTTTATTTTCAAATTGGGAAGGAGGTAGTAGAATTTGTGTTCAAGAATATCTGTTTATTTACTAACTGCCCTTTCAAGGTCAATTTCAGTTTAGAATTTCTCTCTTATATGAATTACAGGAAATTAATTTATGCAAGAAAGGAGACAGAAAGTAAAGTATAAAGGGAACAGGAGAGGTACCTATCCTAATAAGAGAGAAGGGTATTGAGTTGTCTCACTGGAAATGTTCTGGACATAGAGAAACCTTTGTACTGGAAAACAACACAACCGAAAGAAGAAACTAGAGAAAGAAAAGAAAATTACCAAAGTTTTTGAAGGGAACTTTGAAATGAAAAGAAGTTTTTCAAATTCAGGAAAGTATATAAAAACTTAGTTTAGCCAGACCAAACAGTTTTGAGCAATGGTATTTATTACACATTTTTAAAAATTTTTTTCTCCCTAATTCTGTTTTCTAAATGTATTGATATTGCCTTCCATTTTTTATTTCACTGTCCAATTTAATTAAATATTTTGTTTTTTTTAATCATTTTTCTCCTGGTCAGTAAAAATCTGTCTTTTGCTTAGTTTCCCCCCCATCTTTATGATCTTATCTATTTTTCCCAGTTATTGAAACTAGGCTTTATTCTTCCTAGAGAAGAAAGACTTGAAAAATATTCCCTTATTTTTTCTTGAAAATTTACATTTTACATTTAAATATTTGCATAATATTTATATCATACATTTAAACATAAATATTTAACATAAACATTCTATATATATTTACTGGTAGAATAGTGAGTCAAAATCTTAGTTTGTAGTATTTCTATATTCCTACTTCTTCCTTTCTATTCCAGGGTTTTGTAATCTTTGTGACCATGGGCAAATAGAATGGAAGGAAAAGCAGGATAGGAGAGAAGAGAATCTGAAATTATTTTGAAATGTTTTAGCATGTTTTATAAAAATAATTATCAGACCATAGTAGTAGCTTCATAATTCCTAATTACTGAGAACATGAAGTTCAAATGTCAAAATAAAGCATTTCTGCCTCCAGGAGGCACTGCTGTTTTCACAGAAGTAAGAGAGATTTAGTGCCTGTCCTATGTTGGGATCATACCCTGAGATGGAGATTTATTGGGGCATGAAGTTTACTAAAGCATGCTTTTGGGTTCAGTACCTATTAGGGGATGAAGGAAGCAGGACTGGGTAAAAGGAGAAATTTCACTATGATACAATTGCCTTAGAGTCTTCAGCCCTCAATAGGAGGACCTCTAGTGCTGAGAGGGATGGGTGGAAGCATGTAGAGAAATCCTGAATTGAGGCCAGAGCACCCAGTCGTATCTAACGGAACCCATCATTGGAAACAAGTTGCTCCCAGAAGTGGAGCATAACCTTGAGTCTGATCTATCTCTTTGGTAAAGGGCAGTTCCTAGAGAGACAAATGTAACCAAGAGCTATCACCCAGTAGTCAAGGGAAGCAATGTTTCATTTCTGAAGGATGTTGGGAGGGACCAGTGTGGGTGGAGAACCACAGTATCCACAACACTGACTTTAGAATTAGCATGTTAAATTAGAAAGAGCATATTCTCAACCAACCCTTGCATTTTAGTGATGAAACACAGGACTCAGAAGAAAAATCAGCATTCCAAGCAAATACCTAGTATGTGGCAACAAGACTTTTGGTCTCCATACTTCTCCACCATGTTGCTAATTAGACAAATATCTATAAGGCAAAAGACAAATCCAGTGACATTGCTTCTTTCTTTTCTTTTTTTTAATTGATACTCCTTAGCATCTTTTAAACATTTCTGTATTTACTAGACAGGGAAAACAATATGCCCAGTTAGCATCTTTGTTATATGATGATATTTATGGTTTTTTTTACATTCATAAGTTTCATCTTGTTTCTCATAAACTAGCAATTGTTAACTGATTACAGTTTTAAAATTTTCATGACTTAAGATAAGTATACTTTTATTCTGCCAAACATTTTGATGATAAGATTCTATAGGTTATATTTCATGTTCTTAAAAATCACAAAGTGGATTGGTAAGACATTATGAATATTTTACATTTTTTTGAACTTCCTCCTGATATTTTTCCTCTTGACCTTGATACATATAAAGACTATTTGACATTTGTCTTTTTTCATATTTCTATATTTTGCCTTTCCATCACTTTTTACTTGTGTTTACTTTCTTGATAGTTCCCTCTCTAAAACCATATATACTCTTATTGATTGATAATGTAGGATCTATCATTTTTCCAGTAATGTGATCAGCCTCTTCCAGTGATTTTTATCTTTTAAACTTTTCTCTATTTTAAATTTTATCCACATGGATTATTATCAACTCTTTTGATTTTCTCTCCAATCATTTTTTTTCTTTTATTTGATGATTTTTTTTTCTTTTGTCAGACTGGATGTTAGTATTATCTGATGTGGAAGGGAATTTTGGGAAGAATTGGGCTTGGTATAAAAATAAGAATGTTTTTGAGCAGATGCTGCAGAGTCTTTGCAATTGGCATTCCACTCTTCTATTTATTTCAATTTGTTGACCCAAAATGTAAGGATAGCTTCTACTTTCCAGGGTAAGTTGAAAGAAAGGGGATTTTATGTTGTAAATATGGCATGTTCATTTAGCTGTGAGTAGAAATGTTTTGAGAACTGTTGTAGTTGATAAACTTTCCCCTTTCTATTCCAGGGATAAGATATCTTTGTGGCCTCGGGATACATCTCATAAAGATCAAATACAAACGAAATAGTAGGAAAAGCGGGTAGGAGAGTTGAGCATTTGAATGAATGGGGGACATCATCATAGATACAGCACCATCAAATTGTCACCAGTAAAAAACTATAATCAAAGCAACAGTCTTATGTGGGAAGTGGGGGGATCATGTGTGTGATTAGAGATGGAGGTCTGGGTGTATATGAAAAAGGAGAGTGGCAAGGAGTCCCCACCATACCACTTACTTCAGAATTTAACAAACGTTTAAAGCCAAATCATTCAGGATTTGAGCATGGCAACCCAAGCAGCTCTTTGTTCATTATTTGATGGATTGAAGCCAGTCAGAGTAAGTGTATCATATGATCTAGATCAATCACCAAATATTTACTTCTGTTTGGATGTTAATTGGGGGTTTTGAATGATCATGATCATGATGTGTGGTAGGGCAAAAGTCTTCAAGAAGGTGTAAGATAATCTCAGATGTAACAATATTTTTATTTTACTAGAATACAATATTCCTGTGTGGGAGTAAAAAGTAAATAAAAGGAACACATCTCACCAGGCCTCTGGTCAAGGGATAATATATAACAAATCTAAAATGTTCTCTGAAGAACCAGCCTCTGCAATAGCTTTAGAAATACTGGTTTAAAGTGAGTGAAACTAATGCTCTTTCTTGCCTTCAATTGTAGTTAGAACTGACAAGCAAGAAAAGAAGGGTATTGAGGCTAAAGGTGGCATGGCCACACTAGTTTGCAAAGTTACACCAATTTCTCTGAATACCCACATTCAAATTGTAGCACATTAAGCATGGCAGATGCTAAATTTGCTTGAGTTGTATATTAGTCATTCGGTATTCTGATGGACTTTTAAGTGGAAACATGCAGTTTTATTAGCAATTTGGAAATTGCTAATAATATTCTCAGGGAA